AAGCTGTGCCGTCTCGTCTGGGGTTGCGCGAGCGGGGAAGGGCACGTGAGACGCAGAGAAACTAGTTGTTGTGGTTTTTTTCCTGGTGAATGCAGAGGTATCGAAATCTTCCAGGACTACTTAGGCGGCTGCTGCCACCTCCAGGGTGGAGCCCAGATTATAGGATCATAGAATCTTTGGGTTGGAAGGGACCTGTTAAGGTTACTTAGTCTGACCCCCTGCCACGAGCGGGGACATCCGCAACGGGAGCGGGGTGCTCGGAGCCCCGCTGACCTGAGATCTTTCCAGGGATGGGGCACCTACCGCCTCTCTGGGCAACCTGGGCCAGGGTTTCTCCACCCTCAGAGTGAAAAATTTCTTCCTTGGATCTAGTCTGAATCTGCCCTCTTTTAGTTTAAAACCGTCACCCCTTGTCCTGTTGCAACAGGACCTGATGAAGTCTGTCCCCATCATTCCTATCAGCCCCTTTCAGCCCTGGCCGGCTGCAGTAAGGTCTCCTCGGAGCCTTTTCTTCCCCAGGCTGAACCACCCCAACCCTCCCAGCAGAGCTGTTCCATCCCTCGGAGCATCGCTGTGGCCTCCTCTGGCCCCGCTCCAACAGGTCCGTGTCTCTCCTGTGCTGGGGTCTCCCCAGAGGGGCGGAATCCCCTCCCTCGACCTGCTGGCCACGCTGTGTTGGGTGCAGCCCAGGAGATGGCTGGCCGTCTGGGCTGCGAGCGCACATTGTCGGCTCACCTCAAGAACAGCTTGAGCACCTCTGCGTCCAGCTCTGCTGCTGACCAGAGGCTGTCCTGGGACAGGGTAGAGCAGCTTCCCAGCCCAGAGCATCGCTGCAGCAGGATGAGTGCCACTCGCCCGCCTCCAGCACAAATGCTGCTGGCTGATGACCACAAGAAACACCTCGGCACTCGGTCTCCTGCTGCTCGTGCTGCTCTGTGTGTGTGGCCAAAAGAGCAGGGCTCTCAATGACTGGATAATGTGTCTTGTCTTTCCCCAGGTGACCTCTGATGCTCTAGTCTACAGCACAAGCTTAAATTACAACCCGGTTCCTACTGGCAACCCTGTCGTCATCCGCACCAGCCCTGCCGTGGTTCCTATTGAGTGCCACTACCCAAGGTGAGCCAACGCAGATGAGCACTAAGCAAGCTCTTCTGTTGCCACAGAACTTAACTATGGGCATCTCTCCTCAGGAAGGACAACGTGAGCAGCAATGGTGTCAAGCCCACGTGGACGCCTTTTCGCTCCACCCTGTCCTCCGAGGAGAAGCTGCCCTTCTCCTTGCGCCTCATGAATGGTAGGTTTTGGGTGAGGGTCTCCTCCGGTGCAGGGCACCCGGGGCTGGCCTCAGAGGTGGCCATGCTTCCACTAGATGGTACAGCTGGTGCTGTATTGCCCCAGTGCTCCTGCAGCAGGTGGGGTTTGGTACAGCTCTGGTGAGTACCCAGGGCCTTGTGCCAGTTGGGGTCTCCTTGGGTGGAAGCAGTGAAGCACAAGGAGCCAGCTGGCTTTCCATGAGTGCCCGGTGTCCTCTCCTTCCAGATGACTGGAGCGCCGAGAGAGCATCCACCATATTTCAACTGGGTGATGTCCTCCACTTCCAAGCTGGTGTCAACACAGAGAACCATGCACCTCTGAGGCTCTTCGTGGACAGCTGTGTGGCCACCCCAACCCCAGACAGGAGCTCTTCTCCCCAGTATGCTTTCATTGACTTCAGTGGGTAAGAGCTGGCTGTGCCCTTAGAGACGCCTTTCTGCAGGTTATGGATATCTCTGACAGTGGGGTCCTGCTGGCCCTTGCTTTTGCGTCCAGGTGCCTGGTGGATGGGCAACTGGATGACGTCACCTCGACTTTTATATCCCCAAGACCCAGGCAAGATGTGCTTCAATTTGCAGTAGACGCATTCAAGTTTGCAGGAGACTCCAGCAATCTGGTAAATCCTTCCTCAAGCAAGTGAGGCCCCTTGTCTAGACAGGGCTACAGCCTTGCTCCATTAAGAAAGTTGATGTGGTTTTGTCTAGAATTACATCCCCAAGGCAGCTGCCTCATAGCAACGTATGAATGAGGTCACCCTGTGTTACTGCTTCTGGATCATGGCCCTCTGAGACAAGGATCTTCCTTGGCGACCAGTTCTGAGACTGGTCAAGGCAAGCCCTTCTGATGGGCTTTAATAGCTGAACCCTTGAGGGGCTTGAAGGAAGCAGAGGGGCTTGAGCTGCCCTGGGGAGTTGATGGTCCCGTTGGAGAGGAACTTCATGGTGTGTGGGGGAAGCCGTAAAGGCAAATGACAGCCTAACCCCTCTACTCTGCCTGGCCTCCCCAGATCTACATCACCTGCCACCTGAAGGTCTCCCTGGCTGACCAAGCTCCAGACCCTCTGAACAAGGCTTGCTCCTTCAATAAAGCCAGCAACCTGTGAGTAGTTGCAACAGCAGCTTGCCCAAAGGTGAAGAGCTCGGGCTTCACCTCTGGTGTGTCACCTCCCAGGAAGGTGGGGTTGGCCATTGGGATGGGAGGGTTTTGGCCTTTCCTAGGAGACCCCAAAGCACGTGAGGGATTCCTACCATAGGGTGGGCTTGTCACCGGGCTCTTTTCTAGCTGGGCGCCTGTGGAAGGCACCCGGGACATCTGCTCCTGCTGCGAGATGAGGAACTGTGACTTGACCAGACACTCCAGGAGGCTTCACGCTCCCTCCCGATGGCAAGGAGGACGTGCCCGGAGAGAACTGCCCTCCCAGTCTGGTATGTCTATGTGCCTCTTGGTCTCTGTAACCATCACGGTAACTTGCTTGGAGCCAGGTGGCTGGAGCTGCCTCACTACCTGTTGGCTCCTCAGTGCTAATCCAAGAGTTGGATGCTCAAATGAGTTTGAGTGCTCCAAGGTCCTCCCTTTCAGATCCCTTGGTGAAAGAAGCAGATGTTGTGGTTGGACCTCTCTTTGTCCACAGCTGGCAGAGTCATCTAGTTAGGAGGATGCCCTCGCAAGGTAGAGCAAACCCAGGGAAAGGGGGGTGGCTTGTGTGGCAGGTCCTGGCTCTGGCCGTAACCACCTCCTTACTTCTTCCTAGATGCAGGTCAGTTGTGGATGGTATTGGGGCTGGCTGCAGTTGCTGGTTTGGTCATCCTGATCCTTGCTGTTCTAGGAGCTCTGACTGTCTGCCGGAAACCCAGCAACCCCGTTTAAGTCACTGGTTTCAACTTTTATAGTCTATCCAGTAAAAGGATAAATAAATGAAGGATTGAGGCTTGGGGGGGTAGTGGAGGAGGCTGCCTGGAGAGATGGACAAAATCTTTGTGCTAACTTTAATTGTACTTTGCCTCCCTAAGCCCAATTTAAGTATCTCATTCTCCTGAAGCCCTGTCCTCAGCAGAGCTTTGTACAGCCTTACACCCCCGTGAACTTTTTGGGAACTGATGCAAAAAAAAAAAACGAAAAAAAAAATCACCACCCAGATGCTCTGTTTGCTGGTCGGTAGAAGCATGGAGTTGTGCTTAGCCTCAAACTCAAACCACTTTACCTTTCTGTGGAGCTACTTGGCTCTGCTCTCCAGTGGTTAACTCTGTACTCGACAAGCGAAGGGTTTAATAAAACTTGGACCGCTCTCCGCTTGCCTGAAGCTGTTTCTGGAAGAGAAATCGAGCTTTGCTGGATAAGGAAGGGAGCACAACTCAAGGGTCAGTGGGTTGGGCTCTTCCCGGGACAGACGGAGGCAGGAATTCCAGTCCCTGCCCCAAGGACTGTTTACACATAGTTATATGCAACAAGCCTTGGCTGAAATGTATAAACAGTCCTTGGGGCAGGGACTGGAATTTCTGCCCCCACTTCCCCCCCAGAAAGGGACTTTCTGACATGCCTGAGTCACGTTTGCTTTTTCCTCTCATTGCTCTGAAACTTGGGCTTTTCTGCTCGGCAGAGCAGCTGTGATGGGAAGATGTTGCTGCCCCGAGCCCTGTTGCTCCCCGTTAACTGGGAGAGGTTCCCACTTCAGGCAGCGGTGGGAATGTGACCAGCTGAACGTCCGGGGAGGCGGTGTTTGTTGTCAGAGCGAATTCAGGTAGCTGGATTCATGGAAAACTGAGACCTGGGAGGAGCTGGGGCTTGCTTGCAGCATGGTCACCTCTTGGGCTGGAGAGCTTCTACAGCCTCTTAGCCTGCTCTGGGGGAGCTTGGGCAGCGCTCTTGGGTGTGAGGGCCAGAAGACAGGGGTCTATTGCACAACCTGGCCTGTTTTTAGCTGTCATCCAGCATCCTGGAGACCCTCAGCTGGATGCCCTTTGGTAGATGCCACATTGCAGTGGGATCTCTTTGGCACAAGGTACAGAGCTGGAGCTGAGACTTTGGGTCACCGAAAGCCCCGTCCATTCCCTTGGCTGCTCATGGGTCTAAAAGCAAACCGGCCCTCGCTCAGAATTACGAAGATGAGTTCTGGGTTGGATCAGGGAGCTGCTCTGATGTTGGGTTGTCACTATGGCTCCTTCCCTCGTCCATCTGATTTGGTCCTCGTCTTGCAGTGAGGGTGGGAGCTTTTAGGGGGAATAGCTTGGACAAGTCTTCACCATCCCCTTTGAGCTGTGAGTGGTCCGCTTGTGGGGCGGAAGGGAGAGGAGAAGGGCATGGAAACATGGGTGGAGGGGATCTCAGATGGTCTCTGGTCCAACACCAGCTGTATAAGTCCTGGCAATGTCCATGGGTGGAGATTCCCCCCACCGCTGCGTGCCCAGCCCAGGGCTGCAGGATCCTCCTGGAGAAGAAGTAGTTCCTCACCCAACCTGAACCTCCTAGACCGCAAGTTGTGGCTGCTGATCTGTGTTAAACCTTCACGTAACTGATGCCTTCTTAACCAGCATCTTCTCTAGATGTTCAGTACTCTGCCCATCCCGTGGCACAGTCCCTGCTTGGAGCACGTGTCTCTGGTTTGCTGAGACACACAGAGGAACCTTTTAAATGAAAACCCTTCTCTATGCCACTTGGCAGAGCTGCCCTGCAGCCACCGAAGTAAAACACTGCAGTTGGCTCCAGGAAGGGAGACAAATATTGGCCGAATCTGGTCTACAAAGAAATTAGGGATGGGGAGAAGCTCTCTGGCTTTCCAGAGCAGCCACCCCTGCTCCACCAGCTCCTGCCCCTTCCCTGGCTCTGGTGAGGCTCAAGAGCAGCACCCATCTTGTTATAAGCAAAAACGGAGACGTACTTTAAGGTTCCCTTTATGCAACGGGGGGAAAACCACCGAGTTTTGTGTTTGTCCAGTGCCCTGGGACTGTCTGAGCTCTGCGTCCTCCAAAAAAAATGAGCTCACGCCCTTTCCCAACTGCGCTGGTCCACGGCCAACGCCGTGTTGTGCTTGGAATAAAGACGGGGCAGCTGGTCCTGGCAAGGGCTAACCTGGGAGCCGAAATTCCCTTTTCCAGAGAGAAACACCTCCCGAGCCCGGGTGCGTTTCTCCACCCGGGATTCACCTCTGCTAACCTGTCAACACAAGGTGACCCATCAAGGGGGTTTATTCTCCTCTTGGGATCAAGCCCTGGTACCCAGCGACCCACGACTTAACCCCGGAGCTGCGGCTCTCGGGGATGCGGTGGGGTGGGAGAGCCGAAATTCCCTTTTCCAGAGAGAAACACCTCCCGAGCCCGGGTGCGTTTCTCCACCCGGGATTCACCTCTGCTAACCTGTCAACACAAGGTGACCCATCAAGGGGGTTTATTCTCCTCTTGGGATCAAGCCCTGGTACCCAGCGACCCACGACTTAACCCCGGAGCTGCGGCTCTCGGGGATGCGGTGGGGTGGGACCAGGCATCTCCCGGGCATCCCCGCTGCCGGTCTCAAGGTATTTTAAACACGAAGGAGAAATCCTGGACCCGCCGGCAGCGGGCAGGGATGGGGCATCGGCTCCCGGGGGAAAGGCGGAAGGTGTCACGCCGGCCCGTAAAGCTTCGCAAGGGTGGGGTGGGGGGGATGTTGAGTCAGGCACGAGATCAGTCCCAGCTCCAAATCCGGTGGGATTTCTTGCTAGGAAGGGGCTGGCCCGACATCTGCCCCCAAACCCTTTCTGTTTCTTTTCATTTGCCCCGAAATGGCTCAGCCGCTCCAGCTCAAACATCCCGATCGGAAGCTTTCCCCTGTCCCTAAGGCTTGCCGGGGGCCTTCCAAAAGATGGGAGAGGGATTCGGGGAATAAAATGAAGCATCCCTCACAGGGAACCAATGGGATGCTTGCAGAGCCCTGGCAGGGAAAAAGAAGGGACAGAAACTCCAATAACGAGGCTTGAAAACGTATGGGGTTTATTTTTAAGCAGCTTTCCCTGTTTCCCAGCGGTGAAAACAACCCAAAGAGCTGGGGAAGAGCAGCAGAGATGACAGAGAAACGTTGCGGCTCTGCAGCTAATGACCTCACTGCCGAGGATGAAGGGGGGGGGCGGCGTGTTCGGCCCTGGCTGAGAACGGCCGCGCTCGTGTCAGTGGTGAGGGCTCTCCATCAGCTACTGCTGACCCAACATCCCAGGCCCGGCCCCGCCGAGGAGCGGGGAGATGCTCAAAACCCCCGCTTGGGCTGGCGCTGTGA